GGGGGGGGGGGGGGGGGGGGGGGGGGGGGGGGGGCGTGCCGCCTGACTGGGCGTGCATGCCAATGATCCCGACGCCTTGCGATGCTTGTTTTGTGGTGCAGCAGGTTGCGCCCGACTTTTGCAGGGGCAATGGATGGTAATGTCAACCTCACGCGCCCTCCGCCAGGCTGCATCGACGCGCACATACGCATGCTTGCGCTGCACAAGCACAGCACGCATTGCAGCGGTAAAGGCTTTCGAGGGCAACATTCTGCAGCCGTTTTTGTTTTGCCTGCTCAAAGCAATCCCCCTCGCTTCCTGTGCATGCACCAACGGCCCCTTTGATTTGCTGGGCGAGTTGAGCTGTGGATCCATGGTAACACCAAAAGCGGCTGGACACACACCGCACACGCGCGAGGCACGGCGGCATCTGGTACCCGCGTTCAGATGCGACTCACCAAAAGAACACAGGTCGTGACGGGTAGGGTGGTGGCACGCAGTCCAACGGGTGTGCGCGGCCCTTCCTGAGGCTCGGCCAGCCCTACGCTGGTCCAATTCAATCATTCGCAGTGGTTCGCGTCAGCCCTCGCCCGTCGCGGCCGACCCCCCGGGCCAAATTTTGGCGCGCCATGCGTAGCACTTTGCGACCTGCAGTGCAATTTCAGCAACCCCGTAGCACATGAAAAGGGGTTGCGTGCGTTAGGTGTTCTGCGCAATGGCCCCACCCGTGTGGCCAGAATGTGTGGGCGATGCTTGCTAACAAGGGTGAGTACAGTAGCTGATGCATGATGATGGAAGACTGATGAGCTCTCTCTTACTCACGTTTGGACTCACACATGTGAGGGCTCGGACCCTACATCTGGCGCGAGCTCCCGCACGTTTACTGTCTGACGTGACTTGCATGCAGCTGAACAGGAGGCTCCAAGCCCACCAGTGGGTGTTGTCAGCGAGCGGATTGACTGACACCCGTACAGGGAAGCCTGCCAACCTCCTACATACTACGATGACATTCACACCCATGCAGCTTATTTTGTGTCGGCAATTAATGTTTGTTTGATGCCGAGTGCTTTTGAGCGTAGAAGCGCGTAAAGGCCTGCCGACGACCAGTTCTTTCGTGCTGCGGCGCCCCTGAACCTTGTTGAGTCATTCGAATGCACATGCAGAAAGCTTAGAACTCAGCGTCGGGGGCCAGATTCACCCACCTGGGGGCGGCTGCCAGCAGTGCCGCTCTTGTTGTGACGCACGTGGTGCACAGGTGGGTGCGACCTAGAGGGGGAGGCAGCACGTTGCAAAGGTCTTGCTTTGGTTGTGGTTTACTTCTCGCAGCCCTTGACCACGTGTGTTCTTGCCAACGCCATAGCTGATGTGACACGCTGTTCCCAAAAGATTTGATCGTTGTCTCCTTCCATTCCCTGCCTCCCACGCCAGCAGGCCCACCATGCGGCGCACATGGCGATCGCTGCTGCCTTTGCCGATGTGCTTCTTGATGATCAACATGCTGGGCGGTGCGCTGTGCGCCAGCAACAGATAGATGAGAGCAGTGGCTGAGAGGTGACTTACATGCCGCAGTGACCAACGACAGCAATTGCTGCAGCCAGCAGACAATGACGCTGGTCAACCAACGGCACAATTGCTGCTTTCAGCCCACGCCCTTGCTTTTTAGAGGCACGGCACCCTGGCTGCAAGTCAAGCGGGGAGGCGGCGTGCGGCATGCGCGTGTCACAGCCTCCTATAGGCGTACCTGCGTGCTGTGTGCAAGGCTGATTGGATGCGTTGCCGTCATTAGCTGGCCGCCGTGACCCGCATGTTTCTGGGGAGCGCTGGCGCAAACCTTCCTATATTCTCATGCTGCCGTCCTGTGCGCCGTTCTGTGCGTGCGTGCTGCCCTCCACCCATCCGCCACTGCTCCCTGCGATGGTGCGCCCCCCAACCACACACTCACACACACCCACACATGCACGCACGCACGCACAGTGACATGAACAACACACACACACACACACACACACACACACACACACACACACACACACACACACACAGCTCTCTAGCACCCCTCAAGAAAGTTAAGCTGGCTTTCGTGAGTGGTCAAAACATGCGTAACTTCTGCTGCATGGCAGCAAGCGCGGGATGCGGGCTTGTGTGCGGTGCAGCAATACCACGTGCTGCCTTGCTGACAGCGTAGACCCAGGCCGCTTCTTCTACACATCTTCCTCGCTCACCAACCAGGACCTGTTCAGGCTTGGAATTTTCCTGCCAAGCTCCTTCCTGCAGCATCGACCGGCTGATACTGTTCATCGCATGGACGAACACCACCAGCTAGAGGGCGCCGCGCAGCGCGCGCCTTCACCCGCCGCCCCTGCGGTCTCGGCAGAAGGGCGTCGCCTGGAAGTGCGTGCACTCGCGGCCCAGCTGACCGGCATGCAGCACGAGGCCCTGCTGGAGGTTGTTGATCTGCTGGCTGGCGCCCAGGGAGGCGCGGGCGCGGGTGCCAGCGCAGGCGCTGGCGCGGGCGCAGAGCCTTCAGGTCTGGGGATGCTGTTGGTTGGCCCACGTGAAGAGAGTGATGATAGGGGTGACATCCCATCAGACTGCAGCAGCTCGTTTGGGTTGGAGACAGAGCCGCAGCAGGGGCAGCAGCCGCAGCAGCAGCAGCAGCAGCAGCAGCAGCAGCAGCAGCAGCAGCAGGCGCAGGGGCAGGGGCAGGGGCAGGGGCAGGTGCAGGAGGCGCCGTCCAACACGCGGCGGCCCCCGCTCAATTGGTCGCCCGTGTCAGCCACGGAGGCGGCTGCGCCCGTCAGCCGGCTTTGTGGGGACCTTGCAGCAAACATGGCCGCGTTCATCCTTGAGAGCGGCCGCGCCTTGCCGTGAGTGACGCCGCCAGGGCCACGCGCGCGCGTGGCAGCGCCCCGACAGCGCTCACGCCCTGCAGCGCTATCGGGCATACACGTGCTTCCTTATCAATGCCACCGCAGTCTACAGCGCCGCCCGAGGCTCTCGCCCCGCCCTGCCGCCCTGCCGCCCCCCTCCCAGCAGCGGGCCCTCAAACCACACAAACGGACCGCCCCCTCAATACCCCCCCCCCCCCGCCAGGCGCGTGCGGCTGCGGGCGCCGGATGCCGCCGGGGCCGCCGAGCGGCTGGCGGTCCTGCGGTCCGAGGTCGCGGCCCTTATGGTGGTGTCGGCCCTGCAGGACGGCACAGCCCTGCCCCTGCTACTGCTCGCGCCGCTTCCCGGCTGCGGCCCCGGCGCCGCCGGCCAGGTGCCGCCGCCGCCGACGGACCCGCACTGGCGGTGGGCGGTCGTCCAGCTCTCGTTCGAGCCTGTCCAGGCGCGCCTGCGCGTGGGAGGGGTGGGGTTGCGTGATGCACATCAGGATGAGGGCCACCCCGCACGCGCGCCCACCAGGCGCCGCCCGCTTGTTTCCTACCCGCGGCCCCAAACGGGCAAGCCCGGGCGGCGGCGCCGTGGGGCTCTTCTCACCCCTCTTTTCTCCTTGCGCGCCCTGGCCATACATTAGCAGCCTGCATCGTCAGGCCCCTGCTGTGTTTGACAAACCGGAAACAAGGCCGCGCCCCCCTCCCTCCCGCCGTACCTGCCCCCTCCCGTTCCCCACCAGATCGAGCTCGCTCTGGCCGCCCTCGAAAGTTGGGAGGAACGCCTAGCCCTCATCCACTCAAACCGCTCGCGCCTCAGGGCGGAGGCCGCCGCTGCGCGCGGCGCGCCCGCGCGGCTGGAGGGGATTGTCGCCGCGCTGAACGCCAACCTGCGGGAGGGGGTCTGCAACTACCTGAAGGCGTGGCTGGTTGTCTTCTGCAGCGTCGCAAGGCCGGAGCAGTTTGCGGCCTACATGCTGGCGTGCGCGCCCTGGGTGCCCTCGATGCCATGCGTGCAGGCCGGGCTGCGGGCGCAGAGGGCCGACGCGGCGGCGGCGCCCGCAGCGCCGGCGTGCGGGGCCTGAGCTGTCGATGTTGAGTGGTGCATGACGCGTCCGCATTGAATCGGATTCGATTTTGCACAACTTTCACATGATAGGAAGCTGCGGCTCTCCTGCGGCGCCTCCGTTGGGGCCGTTGCAAGCTGCGACGAAGCAGCCGACCGGCCCTGCAATGGCAGCGTACCCGGGCACGCCTAGGTGACATAGGCAACAGGCCTGTCTGTTGCCGGCATGCTTCCGAAACTGTTGTAACAAGATCACATGCATTTGCTCTGGAACACACATGTAGGAGGCGCCCCCCCCCCCCGGCCAGGCCAGCCCCGGCACTTGGTACTGGTA